CGAAATGACAAAATATCAAAACAAAATGGCGCACATAATTCGGCGGCGGACCGAGGGCTGTGATTGGTCGATTGGGTGGAGATAGAACACTCAAGCACTCAATGTCACCTACGCTGTAGGATATAAAACAATTACTGGACGTACAACAAATAAGAACGAAATATTCAGTGTGATGTTGTGTCATAAAATAATTTTAAATGCATTTTGTGTTGTATTAAGAGTATAAACTATAAAATGTTTCTGAACCAGCAGGATTGAAATTTGATTCTTAACGAAACTGTATTTAAAAGTCATTTTCTGAAAAATTGGCACATAGTACAAAAAAGCACTGAGGCGACGAATTGTTGACTATTTAACTGTGGTGGCTCTGTGGGTGACTGCGGTCATTGATGGGAGTATGGGAGCAGCAAGGGAACACAGGCCGGGTCGGATTATAATGTAGAAATATTTATTGACATCTTATCACGTAGGTATCTACAGGGTAATTTACTTCGAGATAACCTTGTGCAAAATCAATATATCATTTAGAATAAAGATTACCATAACGAAATTGGGAACTTGTGATTAGCGACGCTTACAACATCGTCTGCAGTGTTCGTGTGTGACAGGGCGCACGTACAGACCAGGAGCAGCGTTACGTCGCGCGTTGATGTCTTTACTAGGGACGCTCGCGGCGCGCGGCGTAGCCGTGGCTACGGGCGTGAAAGCTGCCGAGTAGCTGCTGCAGTCGACGGCGTGCTATGTGTGTCAAAATATTGTACAAAGTGAAACATTTCGGGGGCGACAGGTCGAGAGCTCCGGACAGTGGAGTATGTGTGGAGGGCTGGCAGAGGAGGTCGGGAGTAGTTGCCAGTCGCCTCCGTGAGGCACTCGTAGTAAACACGTTCAGGTGAATATTAATAAGTGTGTGGCCAGCCCGAGCCGAGGGCCAGGGGGGGGCGTGGGCGGGGGCGCGGGGGACGCTGCCATAACTCGTTCCGAACTAGTAGGAATTCCGCGTGAGAGTGTTATGCGGAGACGAGTGCGACATACCACGCGCAGCGCCACGGGGCTCAGTATAGTGAGTCTAGGCTTCTACGTGTTAATGCTTAATTAGCATTTCGAGGAGAGTGACGTCACGTGCCTATCATATTCATCGAGTGTTGTTCCGGTTCCTGTTCTGCTCTCGAAGGCAACATAGAGAGCTCGTTACTCACATACAGCCAGCCATGCGCGCGTGTGTGTGTGTGTAAGTGTATACGTACAGCTGGCAGTCGGCGCGCGGTCCGCGCATACTTTAAGGCTTACGTAATCAAATGTTTTTGTACGTAAGTAAATCTTCAAGTCGAGCCAATGCCGCATTCCGTAGTATACTCAATCAGTTATTTATTTCACACAGAACTCGCGGGCTCCAACTACTGTCATGTTGTCGAGTGGACTGTAGTCCAAGTACTGCGCCACTACTGTTCAAATATGATTAATAAGCAAAATATGAACAACACCCGCTCCGTGTCACCTCCGGAATGTCGCCTGGCGTCGGCTAGAGGTCGCTCGCTACGTGTGATACAGTGCTAGTCGCCACCGCCGCCGTCTAACCGTCATCATCATTCCACCATCAGTTAAATTCGCAACACACACACATACACACATACTGGTGTAGTTGTGAGCACTGAGCAACTGTAAACTGAATGAGACTGGCTGCCGTACAATACATGAACATACACATACAAACAAACTCACAAGCTGACTCCGACGTGCCCACTCTGTGCACGGTGGTTGGATCCCAAGTTACATCTCTGGGTCGCGTGGGTCATTGCAGCGGACCTCGTAGACACGTCGCCTACCTAGCACATTGTATTATGTACTGTATAGTGCGTTCTTGTGAGATCTGTAACTGTAAGTCACGAGAAACGAGGCGTGGCGTCACGTGCTTCCGGAAGCGCAGCGTGACACCGTGAGTACCGTGCAGCGTGACCCGCGTGACGAGTGGTGGGCAGCGCCGGGCGCCGCGCCTTGTCTAGTAGTATCACTGGCACACTACTGCCGTGTGGCACTCTCACCGCCGCCGCCTAATTGTAAAGAGAAAGCTAATACATTCGGGGACGGCCGCAGCGAGCAGTGAGCACGTGCGAGCGTGTGACGTCACGCGGGACCACGGCCCGTACTGTCGGCACTGCGCGGTGGAGGGAACAATATGTGGCGTGTGTGACATCAGACGATTTACCGGAACATTATTGTTAAATGCGCCGTTCATTACACATTCGTGCAGCGATAGCATGCTATCTGATCACAAAGTACATCTACATACGTACACACTATGTGTATGTAGTTGTGTTTGACAGGATGACGCGACGAGCAGCCGGTGCAGGGAACTGCGATAACAGTGCAGTGGCCCGGAGTGCGCTGCAGCACCTCGGGATCGTCGCCACTTGTATCAACAACATAAGGAACTCTCAGGAACTTGGACTCTAGATATTGGACTCAAATCAATACTAACAGTGAGGCAGATCAATGAATTAATATTATTACAACGTACGTACGTTAACATAGTACTTACTGTATGGTACGCCCGTACGCGATGGTACACATTGTATCAATCTAGGAGAGGAATGTTTCTGAATGTTGGTATTGTTACGGAAAGTTAACTTTTGCACAACAATAACAACAGGCCGGCTGACGGCTGGCGGCTGGCGGCTGGCACAAACCAACTCTCAGCTGATGTCCAGCGACGTCAACACAAAGTCATTCACATTGTAAGTTCTCTGCACCTGGTCATGTCAAGCCACATCTACTTGTACGTATGTAAACTATGTAATTTGTTGCCTTATCTTATCCATACAAAATGTGTCAGTTACTGGCAGGAACGTAAACATTCCTTAATAATGAAAAATATGGAACAATAATAATACGTAACTACATTTTTTTTTAAAACGTTGCTCCACACTAGGATTTTCTCCTGTGTCGTGGGTGCGTTTACAAACATACAAGTTCACATACACATGACATCCAGACCCGAAGCAACAATTTGTGGATAACAAAAAGTGTTGTTTCGTGCGGGAATCGAACCCGCGACACGTTGCACGGCAGCCGGTTGCCCAGCCACCGCACCAACCGTGCAGTCTGACTTTATAATTTCATGCGAATCGTGAGGATTGTTCCTGGAGTGTTTGGCAGTGTATAGTATCATATCGAGCGTGACAGAGCATGCGGCGAGGCACACAGCACACAGGTCCCCGACACCTGGGCCGGCTGCACCTCAATGCAATACTCGACCGCTCCATTATATGTTGCATCCGAGCACTCACATTCATACACACATGTATTATATCTGTGCACGTTATCAGACATAGTGAAGCATGACCTACTTCTGGCAGTAATAAAGTGTAGGTCGAATACTTGTTACTTCCATGGACCACATTAGAAGTTATATGAGAGCTCGAGTAACAGTTTTGTGCAGTTGTTGGGCTGCTCCCAAACAACTAGTTCACTAACTAGTGAGACGCTCCTCATAACCAACATGAGACGTGTAACTTTTGTTACACTTATTGCATGTATGTAGTTTGCTTTTTAATTTTTTGTTCTCTCCGTCGACTTAGGTCGAGTAGGTATACGGCGGGTATACTCAACATGACCCCAGTAGTACTCCCCATATGTTGATCTGACGCGCTCGAGTAACTATCGAAATCCCTTTCTATTATTTACAATTCGTATTTATGTTACAATCTCCGCAATAAAAATGTATGTCTTTTAATAAATACTTAATTTCAGCAAGGGAACAATATAATCTGTATCAGTGGGTATTGATTACTTATACACGTCATTATTACTAGTTGTGTGAATTGTTGAATGCACTGTCTATATTTGTACATGAAGAATATATTTTAATGGAGTTATTATGTTGCGTTAATGACTGCTGACCATTTAGGGAGCTGTGGTAATAGTATGCAGTGCATGGAATGTAGTGGCTGGACGACCTGGACGTGCAAACACACAGGAAGTGTACAGACACACCGACACAGGTAACTGTAGCGTCTCCTTGTACAGCGAGCCCTCGCTTCCTGTGGACACTGCAGCTCGTCTCCAGTTGTTATCAGCGCCGCGCCGGGGCCCGAGCGCCCGCGGAGCAACGACCGCACACTGCCAGATGCTCCCGCATACCGCCATCTATCGGATACTCTCGACACCACAATCCAACAATCGTTCACATTGTTTAGCTTATAATGTTCCTCCTCCTGGTCGCGGGACTGTGTGAGCTCACACTCCACCCTGCTCACACTTGTTCCGTGCTCCAGCCGGGGCGGAGCTGCCCCCTGTCATTACTACGCCGCGCTTGCACTCGCGGTACTTATTGTCTACGTAGCGTCCCTGTCGCAGGAATGTATAACAAGTATGAATAATATGTCGAACGCCGGATCCATTCATACGCCGAGCAAACCAGCACCACATTAGCTGTACTGGTGGCGGCAGCCGACACACACACACACACACACACACACACACGGACGGCTGCGGGAAAGCGACTCGGCCTCGTTCCCGAGCTAGGTACGTGCGCGGGCGCCGGTCGTGACGTGTCGCGAGCACCTTAGCGGCCCGCGACTCCTGTGTCGGGGGGTGGCACGCACCCGGTGGCAGCCGGTACTCACCTTAGTCTGCGGCACTCGGGATCAGACACAGTTAACAAACAACGTGAGTCCGTGCTTATCACTCGCGGCGGTACTTGGCGACTCAGCGGCGATTCGGTGTGTACTGGAGAGTGCGGCGCTGCGGTCGCCCGCCTCCCCCACTCCGCCGTCACACCTGAGCCGAGGCTTCGCGAGTGTGCGGGGGCGCGGGGGCGCGGGGGCACGGGGTACTGAGAGCCTTCGTGGAGGCAGCGCGGGGAGCGCGCGGTGCGGGCGCCAGTCTGTGCCTGGGCGCGACGCGATCCGCGCGTCGTTCGAATTGTGAAACATGTCCGCGAACGGGTCGGCGGCTACAGAGCCGCGGCTCTGCCACGTGCGGAAGACGCCCGACTTTGACGGCTATGGATTTAACCTACACGCCGAGAAGGGCAAGCCCGGCCAGTTCATAGGCAAGGTGGACGAAGGCTCCCCGGCGGAGCACGCGGGCCTGAAGCGGGGCGACCGCATCCTTGAGGTGAACGGGCACAGTATCGCTGGCGAGAGCCACAAACAGGTGGTGGCTCGCATTAAGGAGCGCCCCGAGGACGCCGAGCTGCTGGTGGTGGCGCCTGCGCCGGGCGATCCGGTGCCGGACCTGGACGTGCCTGCGCCCGAGGCGCCCGAGGCCGCGGCCACAGACAGCGCGCAGGCGACCGAGCCTCCGCGGCTCAACCTGCAGATGACGGCGGCGGAGATGCGCGCGCACCTCGCTGCCAAGAAGAAGTTTGACCCTAAGAAAGTGCCCATGGACCTCAAGTCCAAGTTTGACATCGTCAAGAAACTGTGATGTGTGTGTTGTGAGGTCGCGTGCCGGTGTTGTGGTGCAGTGCGGAGGGCGCGGCGCCGCTGCCGCTCCGCGGCGCGCTGTTGCCAGCCCGCACCGAGCGAGCGCATGAATTGGAACAATGACATCGACGGCGACGCAAGCGCAGGTTGTTCGTGCACCGGCCACCACCCCGTGTTGTACAATTAATGTAAATTTGTTTTACCACGTAAATTATGTTATATAATTTATAGCGTTCTATAAAAATTGCCATTGAATTGAATAAAGTGTTGTTGTATATATTTACTAGCCTAGTTGCTTAGCCGCTATACATACGTTTATAGTACATAGGGATGAACCACTGTGTGTAATTTATTTTATGAATTCAAATTTACTTTGATTTTTAGTAATTGATTATCTAAATGTGTAGCTAGAGTTACTCACGTACTCGAGTGTGAATATTGTTTAATTTTATTATCAATAAAATGAATTGAAAGCAAACCGATGTGTCATCCTGCCTCAGTGTCAGCCGCTGTACGTATGACGGCGTGTGACGCTGTGCGCCGCCTCCTCATTTGCTCATTGTACATTCCGTGTGAAGCGATCAAACAAATCGCAGAGGTCCTATTTAAATAGTTGGCGACTGGTCACTGCCAGGTACCTACATACATACAGACGTGTGTTTACTCACCTCGTTATTTACAATGTGATAGAATATGTACGTTCGCGCTTCGCAATGTTCCGACTATATTTTATTTCAGCAATAACAACACTCCTGCTCGAAGAGATAAGTAAGCAGAAGAGATATCTTAGAAGACAACTAATGATTGATAATAATAAGCTTAGATTGTGTTCATTGATTCAATGTACAAAGGAATGATGAATGCCTAAGTGAAGGTTGTTGCTGTTTCCCTCAGTCCAGTAATACTTAGTAGGTAGTTACAGTGCTGAGCACGGAGTGTCGCCGGGCTGCCGTGACCCGTCCGATGATGTGGACTTTGTGGACCAGTGAGCACCGAGCCACACGGCTACAGGTGCTACAGGTGACTACAGCGTGTGACTGTATGTATGTACAGCGCCGCACTCGCGCTGACGTGTACTTCATTATCTTATCTGTGGCCACGAATTAGTTCGCATTAGAATTACCTGACTGTCAGTGGCAGCCCGCGCCCGGGCCCCGGGCCCGTCGTCGCACCACTAACTCGTTCTTGACATATTTAGTACAACTTTGTAATATTTAGTTACTATTTCTCGTTTGTTTAATGCTGTGTTTATACATAGGTACATACTTAACTGTGAGATCTTGGGTTCGACACCCAGATTGGACAAATTGTGGCAATGGATTTACTCTAACATAACATAATCAAGTCCTGGGGATCACACATAATTATGTCTCGGAAGATTATGGCCATATTATATCGGGTACTGATAATATAAGTAGTAGATAGATTCCAAATCTCTCACGAAAGCGTCTCGCGCTGAGCATGATCGAGAAATTGGGTCTAAATAAATTGTCAATTTAGATGGTACATAAATAAAGTCATTTACTTTAATATATTTACTGTTATGTTTTAGTATACACCGAGAAAATATTAATTCAGTGCAATTATTCGGCTTTTTAAGAATTTCAACGATTTTCGGTTGATCAGACCGACCATCTGTTTTGTTCTTATCGACCGAAGAATTGTCATCTAATGTCTTTTTTGCCATACTTCGTGTCATGACATTTAAGACATTCTGATTCATATTTTTTAATTCATCGGATGTAATCACGATGCGAGATAACGCGTCTGCAGCCACGTTATTCACACCCTTAACATATTCAACTTCGTAGTCGTACTCATCTAAGGTTAATCGAAACTTTATTAGTCTACTGGACGGTTATTGAACCAAATAAATAAAGTAAAGGTTTATGGTCTGTTTTGATCTTAAACTTTTTACCAAATAAATACGGCCTAAAATATTTAACGGACCAAACAATAGCAAGGAGTTCCTTTTCTATTGTTGGATAGTTTAACTCGGATTTATTGAGCGGCCGGCTTGCATAAGCAATCGGCATATCATTTTTATTACATAACACGGACCCTACAGCTACACCAGAAGCATCCGTGTGCAATATGAATTCATTATCGTTCTCAAAATTTGGATATTGTAAAATGGGTGGATTGGCTAAACATTGCTTTAACAGATTAAATGAACGCTCACATTCTGTATTCCAAATAAAATGAGTACCTTTCCTGCATAGTCTATTCAAAGGTATTGTTATATCAGCAAAGTGTGGAATAAATTTGCGATAGTAATTCGCGAAAGCAACGAAACGTCTCACTTCGTCACTATTTTTTGGCGTGGGGTAATTTTGTATTACTCGTGTTTTTGTAGGGTCAGGCGAAACTCCATTAGCAGATACAATGTGGCCTAGATACAGTAATTCTTTCTTCAAAAACTGACATTTTTCAGGGTTAATTTTTAGATTTACCCTTCTAAGCCGTTCAAAAATATCAATTAAATTCTTATTATGCGAATGTAAGTTGCGTCCTATACAAATAAGATCATCCAAATAGACCAGACATTTTTCATGATTTAAACCAGACATTGCTACCGTCATTAACCGACTAAAAGCACTTGGGCTGATTTTCAAGCCCATTGGGAGTCGCTTCATTTGATATTGTTTGCTTGTAGTAAATGCAGTGTATTTCCTACTTTCTGGACATAATTCTAACTGATAATAACTTTGGCTAAGGTCTAAGTGGCTGAAATAAATTGCTCCTGATAAAGAATCCAGTATATCTGAAATATTTGGTAAAGGGAACTTATCGTCTTTAAGATTATTATTTAATTTCCGATAATCAATAACAATTCGCCATTTTTTATTACCGCTATTGTCACATTTTTTTGGCACTAAAAGAACAGGGCTAGACCATTCACTCGTACTTTCCTCGATAATGTCATTACGTAACATATCTTGGATTTGTTTATCAATCTCAGTTTTTTGACTTTTAGGGAGCCTATAGGACTTGGTGTACACTGGGTTAGTATTTTCTTTCAAATGAATTGACTGTTTATATAAATTGGTAACGCCTAATTTGTCGCCTGGTAAAAAAAATACATCTGAGTACTTTGCACAAATGTTTTCGATCGAAATTTGTTCTTCTTTATTTAAATGCTTTAAATTCAATACCGAAAATAATTGTTTCACACGATTCGCATTTAAGTTAAAACTTTCAAAAGAACATACAAAATATTCATTTAAAGGCACAATGTCGGGCGTGAAATAACTTAAGCATATGTCTGTCTCTCGGGTGTTTAAAAATGTTAATGGTATTTTACCATCTATAGGTTTTACTAAAACAGACGCTAAAAATACGCCTTCACTTAACTGTTTAGACATAACAACACCTTCATCTTTTAAACTTGTCTCTACTAAGTAAGTAACTTCACATCTGGCCGGTATAGTCATGTAAGTATTGTTGCCGAGTTGCCCCATTTGTAATGGGATAACAATGGGTACGTCATGATTAATTGTCAATATATTTCGCTCAAAATCTAATATGCAATTAAATCTACTCAAGAAATCTTGTCCTAATATACCATCTGTTCTACAAGTAAAGTTCTTAAATACATAAAACCTATGCTCGAACTCATAATTATTATAATTCAATTTAAGATAAACAAAACCATCACAATACACATGACCACCTATACCGTTTATTTTAATGCGCTCTATATGGAAAGGAATGTGCAGGCTCTCTAACGCCTCCTGCCTAATTATGGACACTGACGCGCCGGTATCAAGTAACCAACTACGCGACACGTGGAATACATCTAAATTAATAGAGTTAATATTGTGGCAATAAAAATGTTCATGCACGAAAAAACAAGTTATTATTTTGATTTTCATTCTGCACTTCAGGATTTTCTTGTAAACGCTCACTACCACTCGACTCAGCTAGCCTAATTTGGTGTTGACGAGCCGGGCGACGAAACGTTGTGTGGCCACGAAAACCACCGCGACCGCGATAATTGGATGAATTATTAAAGTTACGTACACGATTGGAACCATTGTAATAACCACGACTGGGATTATTATAATTTTGAGAGTTAGAAAACACTCTAGACGCACCCCTGTTAAAACTATTATTATAATTACGATGACCGCGGTTTGACCTACCTCTATTATGATGAAAACTCATCACTCGCTCTTCACCTCCACTCGATAGCTTCTCGTCCAATGCACCCTGGATCGCGTCCTTCAATGTGCTATAATTTCTAGCTGCAATTATTGTGCTAAGACGACTATTCCTCAGACCATCAGAAAATCGTTTTATAGCTATCCGCTCGTTTATTGGCTTCAAAGTTTGGTAAAGATCAGTGTTTCCGTTGGCCTGAGTAATTGTCAGATCGACGAATAACTGTTCTAATTCCTTACCGTAATTCTCGATACTCTTGTCGTTCTGTTTCATATGCTGCATCTTGCTGTGGATCGCAGTATCGGATTTTTTTGGCAGTAAGATACTACGCATGTCTAGAATCAAATCTGCAACAGACGAATAAGTATGACGCATGCGCAGCTTAGCGCTTTCAGATAGCCGTGACTTTATAACAAATTGAATGAGTTGCTTTTTACCCGTATCATCTATCATAGACTCATACATCTCGATGTTTGAAATTAATTGTTTGGTGATATTCTCATCACCCGTCATTACTGGTAACAAAGCAATCGCAGTTTTCAATTCGAACTTTTCCATGGTGCTTTTCGTATCCTCTGTACTATCAGAACAAAGTTGAATTATTTTCGAATACAATTTATTTATATTATCAAATAAGTTTGTAATTATCTGAATTTCACTATCACTAATCTCTTTATTTTTTATTCGAATTTCAATAGCTATTTGTAAGGAACAAAATTGTTTATATAAAATATTTACTTCAGTTTGTTTTGCTCGTCTTACATTAATTGACCTTCTACTTGGACCTAACTTTGTAAGGTAATCATTAATATACTTCAATTTATCAAATATTTCTTTAACTTCACTAGCCATAACATCATTACATAAAGTTACGTATAATTATTATTATATTAATCATCATAATTACATACACACAAAAATATGACAAAATCATTTAAAATAACACACTAATATTACCTTAT